AGAAATACAGGGTCGTCTGAGGCCTCATGGGGTTAGGTTGGCGTTAACCACCTCAACCTCAAGTGCTTCAATTTATGATAAAAATTTAATTGATAATCTCGGTCAAGATGCAAAGTAATATTAGCTCCAAATACATTCGATTGCACCTTTTAACGATCTACGACCCAGATATTTATCTTCCTAAAGCCCAATTTAATCATTGATCAAACATGATATCCACCGTCCAATAATATGTATATATGAATTTCACCGTCCTATAATACAAAATCAATGGTCATACTCTGATCACTCTTTCCTATAATGCCAAATGCTGAGTGCAACTTTAAGGTGTAATAACGAGCCCCCACAGCCAACTGTTCATGTCTTGTAAGTATGTACTATCTTAGTATTCACTCTAGTACATAACATTTTTAACATTAAATACATTCTCTTTTAATGTTTTTTTTTTCCAACTTTCTACAAAGCTATCATCACTACTTTGAAAAACCCCAAAAGTACTACCATATACATATACTAATTATTTTTTGCACTTAAATGTACGAAGTAATAAAAAAAATAATCAAAAATAAATATACTTGTATTCACAGATAAAGTCAAATTATAATAATAAAAGAGAGAGAAATGAATTTAAGTATCAATTGTAGTGGTGGCGAGCGGTGATAATGGTGGTGGTGAAAGACGATGATTATTGTGGTTGGTGACGACGANATGTACTACCATATACATATACTAATTATTTTCTGTACTTAAATGTACGAAGTAATAAAAAAAATTATCGAAAATAAATATACTTGTATTCACACATAAAGTCAAATTATAATAATAAAAGAGAGAGAGAAATGAATTTAAGCATCAATTGTAGTGGTGGTGAGCGGTGATAATGGTGGTGGTGAAAGACGATGATTATTGTGGTTGGTGACGACGATCATTGATGATGGTGGGAGCTATGAATGACAACGATGATGGTAGTGGTGGGGGTAGTAGGGATTTGAATTGTATTGTATTTTATTTTATATATATATTTGTATTCACACTTGAAGGCACATAATAATAAAAACAATGATTAACAATAAATATATTTGTATTCACACCTAAAATCAAATCACAAATATAGNGGTGGGGGGTAGTAGGGATTTGAATTGTATTGTACTTTATTTTATATATATATTTGTATTCACACTTGAAGGCACAGAATAATAAAAATAATGATTAACAATAAATATATTTGTATTCACACCTAAAATCAAATCACAAATATAGAACAAAGAGAAATGAATTGAAGTATTAGTTATAATGGAAGTGAGTAGTGAGTAATGGTGGACAGTAATGACAGTGATAGTGGTGATGGTCGTGGGGGTGGTGGTGGGGCAGTAGGAGTAATGGTAGAATAGTAACGATAAAGTGGTGGTGGGGTGGCAGTAGGGGTGGGGTGGCGGCGGTGGTGGGGGGGCCACGGTGGTGATGATAGGGGTAGTGGTAGTGGGGTGGTGGCGACGGTNACTTACGTTGCAGTGAGGGAATCATGGGAATCACAGTTTGCTGTAAAGCCGGTCAGTTCTCACTATCGAGCATGGCACACTCTATGCAGTTCGCTACCCGTGTTTAATGTGATGTTTCATTTTTAACCTATACCACGGAGATCACTGCTTAAGGTGTGCAGTTTTGGGTTAAATGAATATAGAGATGTCAATTCTAGTAGCCGAGTCAAAAGAAAAGTGTTTCATCTTTTTGTTTTCAAGGTTTTTGAGTTTATTTTCTTCCTTATATTTATTTCACAAGGTCTTTGGCTTGCGGTACTTTATGCTTAGGATACCCTCAAGTCTTCTGAGTGTTAATGCTTCTGTATGTATCCTATATGACATTGGAAGAGCAATCATGTGTATATTTTTGTTTAAAATTTGTATAGATAACTAAGAATACTGGGACCAATACATGGAGGGTTCTCTTTACATTTATTTTGCTGTAAAATGAAATAATGGGAGTGAAGGGTAGAAAGAAAATATAGGAAGAATCAGAGAGTTGTGTGTTAGGGACCCAAAATACATAACTTTATCTAGGATACCACTTAGGACCACAAGGTAGGTGTGGTGAGCATGATGCAAAAAAGATTGGGTAGTGATCCTTAGTCAGGGAGTGGTCACTGCTGGAAATCATATACAGCTATTAGGTGCATTTCATTATTGATCACATCCTTTCAAACAGCATGTTTATCCTCTTAAAGGAGCCTTTCATCCTGTTGGTGTGGGTCACCATCTAATCCTTCCATACTGCTATTGGTTCATAAATACAGTTGACCTCACACACACAAACAAAATCGCTTTCACAATTGCTCAGTGTTTGATGTAGGGGTAACAAGGTGTTATGTTTGGGTTTGCTTGCATCGAGTAATAGTCAATTGTAATTTAAAATTCTATTTATTTGATTGTGTTAGGTGTCATGATACAAACTCGACTTATTTATTGTCGTATTATATTTGAAACTTACACTCAAATAGTTTTTTCATATACTAAAATTCACTAAATCCATATAATTCTCTTTGTTTGTAAGGATTCATGTTAATATTTGATAAAAATATAACAAAAATTTGATATATTTTATATGTATAATCTATATCTATATCTATATTTATATTTATATTACNTGGGGGTGATGATAGAGGCAGTGGTGAGACGGTTTCAAACATTTTTTTTTTAAAGTACTTATTAGAAATAATACTTAGAAGTACTTTTAAAAAGTCACTTCAAACAGACCCTTAGTGTTTTATTTTTCCTATTAAATTTAGGATGCTAATATTAGTCATTAGGTTAATTTTAAAGTAAAATTTAAAACGATCTGAACTGTAAAAAATAAAAGTCATTATATTTATCTTTTGAATTTTAAATTATAATCTACTTTATTTATATTATTATATATATATACACACACACACACACTTTTTTAACCTATTATATAGTGTGCCTCGTTGAAAGTTAGGAATTAGCAGAAGTGATGTACACGACGATATTTTCAAGCTATGAAAAAAAGGAGACCCTAGTTTGGATTTAAGGAAAGAAAACTATCTGTTGAGAAAAACACAACTTTTCTATGGAGCGGAAGTTTTTAGTATAATCAACTCAAGTCACGATTCTAGAGAATAAATTGTGTTTCAATGAAATTGATTTAGAAATGATTAAAAAATTGAAAAAAATAATTTTTTAATAATAATTCTAAATTTCTGGATCTCATTAATGATAAATCATTGTATCATAATTTGATCCATCTTGTTGTAACCTCTCGAAAAACACACCAATTCTCAACTATTCCTTCGAATTTTTTTTTAGTATTGTAATTTTAACCTTTACAATTTTAATGAATATTTTTATTATTTTTATGAATTATCTTATAACAAAATACTTTATAATTTTTATGACTAATTTATAATTTTTGTGAGTATTTTTATCACTTTTATGATAACTTGCTATCTATTTTAAAATGTTATGACTGATCACAAATTATCATAAAATAGTAAAAATAATATCATAACAATAATAAAAAAACATTTAAAAAAATAATAAAACTGCATATAAAAATTATAAATGGTGGTATTATATTCAATTTTTTTATTGGATACCGTAGATTACTCCATTCCTTGTAGAAAATACAAAAACAAAAGCTTTCCTCATCCCTCTGCACGACTCCATCAAAGTTGTGAATGTCTTAATGGTTGTACCCATGTGAGGAGGCAGGCTCCTGTACCTTATCTCTTGTCAAATCTTACATCAACTTTCACATAATACATGATGTAAGTGAATACGAGGCTTTGCTTGTGGAGCTTCTTTTATTAATTTTGAACACCAGCTCTTTTGAAAAATAAACTATCATTTAAAATATAAATACAAAAACAGCTTTTTTATTTACAAAATAAAGCAGCTTATATTTAACCCGTCTTAGATCCCATAATAGTGAGAGTTTCGTGTACTAACTATATTTTTTTTGTTATTTAAAAAATAAATAAGTTTTTGCTTGATATAAGTGATTTATCCATCATTAGTAGTGTGGTCCNGGGAGTTTCGTGTACTAACTATACTTTTTTTGTTATTTGAAAAATAAATAAATTTTTGTTTGATATAAGTGATTTATCCATCATTAGTAGTGTGGTCCTCAGATATAATAAGCTAAAAAAAAAAAATACTTATTGATGTATAAGTGATTGTAATGCCACAATAGTTTTTCTTCAACTGTGACATTTAAAAGNGAGAGTTTCGTGTACTAACTATATTTTTTTTGTTATTTAAAAAATAAATAAGTTTTTGCTTGATATAAGTGATTTATCCATCATTAGTAGTGTGGTCCTTAGATATAATAAGCTAAAAAAAAAATACTTATTCATGTATAAGTGATTGTAATGCCACAATAGTTTTTCTTCAACTGTGACATTTAAAAGATGACTATTTTGTAAAGTGACCTATCAACGTACCCAGAAATAATTAGCATTGTAGGAATAGGATTAGGCAATGTATGAATGATGATCAAATTAAGCAGCAAGTGTTAACATATTTCTAGCTGCTGCAAGCAAAAAGTTACTGTTGTCGTACCAAAAGCAAGGAAGAGAAAGTACAGCACCCCTTGTACACTATATTCTGACTCTNAATGTATGAATGATGATCAAATTAAGCAGCAAGTGTTAACATATTTCTAGCTGCTGCAAGCAAAAAGTTACTGTTGTCATACCAAAAGCAAGGAAGAGAAAGTACAGCACCCCTTGTACACTATATTCTGACTCTATTCTCTTCAGTCATCATATTATATCACAAAATTACATTCAATTAAGTTAAATCACAATTTAAACAATCATAAAATAAATTAAGAAGATGCTCTTTAAGATTAGAAATGTCATACATAAGAGATTCTCAAAAGGGTATCTGCATCAAATCCATATGAATGGATTGGACAACAACACCACTCACAACTGAAATCTAACAAATCNTAAAATTGAAAAAAAAATATCAATTAAGAAGATGCTCTTTAAGATTAGAAATGTCATACATAAGAGATTCTCAAAAGGGTATCTGCATCCAATCCATATGAATGGATTGGACAACAACACCACTCACAACTGAAATCTAACAAATCTAATTTCCTTAACCTACATTACATAACCAATGTTATTCTCAATATGAAGATACCATAACGAGCAGACCCAGGGAAAAAAAATGTTCAAAAGAGAAAGAGAGAAGGACGAGGGATAGTTTAAGCTAAAGATGGAAGAGAAAATTGTTGTCTTTGCTAAATTGGATTTTGAGAAGTGGAGGGGTTCTTCTTGGCTAGATTGAGCTTATTGTTGTGCATCCAAACCTTAAGGACTCTTCTCTTGACTCCAACTTCTTGGCAGAATTGCTGCACCACTGCTTCCTCTTGCTTCTGAATTTTCCACCCAACTTTCTCAGCAAAGTTCAGCATTTTCTCCTTCTGCTCCTGTGTAAACTTTGTCCTGAACCTTTTCTTCACCAGCTGATGTGGCCTGGCCGCAAACCCACCACCACTACCTCCACCTCCACTACCACCACCACCACCACCATCCTCTAGCTCATCAGACTCTGAAGGGAGAGAACCCATATTATAAGACATTATCATGTGGTGTGGTGGAGCTGATCCGAAAGGTATAAGTGTTCCGGTAGGGTGGTGTCTCAAAGCCTCCGGTCCCAAAATGGTATTGTGATGACCCAAAATGACTTTCCTTCCAACCCTATTGGGATAGGGGTGATTGTGGTAGCAATCATATGAAGAGGCCTCACCTTCTATCTCTTTTCTGTGGAAGTTTCTGTGGCAGTTACAGGCTGAGCATGTGAGGGCCTGTAGGGTACCCTCTTCTCCACTGGGCATGAACTCACCACACCCATCTGTAGCATTCCCACCCATGGAAGCTGCATGGTTTTTGAGGCACTCCCTATACCTGACCATTTTCTTGTAGGGCACAAGGTCCTCCAGTGTTGTTGATATGGGGCCATTGGAGGGTATTTGGGGTGCTGACGAAGGTATAATGTGATTGTGGGGTGCAGGGTCATTATGGATCATGTGCCCCTGCCCATGACCATGTCCCCCACCATATGTACTGTTAATTGGAAGTGGCATCTCTCCTTCTTGTCTTGAAAGTTCCATTTCTAGCCTCCTCCCACACTTCTTGCTCTCTCTCTGTGCCTCTCCCTCTCTCTCTCTCTCTCTCTCTTTTTTTTATTGATGCTGTTTGTTTGTAGACCAAAAGAGGAGGAACAAGACAGGAGAGAATTAGAGGCCAAAATGATTAAATTAATTTTTTTTTTTTGGGGTGGGGGGCTTCTTACAAGATTGTTCACTCTTGTGGAAACAACACACGACTACAGCTACACAACTAGTAAACTCTGGTTTCTTAACAACATATCTTCAACATCCTTTCTTCCCCTACGACCAAAAGTGACCCACTCATGAAACTAGAAACAGAAGCTTTGGTGGTACAATGGAACTGGAGAGAGAGAGAGAGACTATTTTGAGTCAGCTGGAATGTAAGAACAACTACAAGGCAACGAATCCTCCTAGATTTGAACAGTCACCTCATTTCATTTATGATCTTAGGCAGAGAAAAGAATCAAAAGCAAGCAAATTCAGCAGCAATATAGCCAGGAGCTGGGCATAAGGACTAGGCACGATGAGCAAATGCATTTTGCTGTCTATGTTTTTCTATCTCTCTTGAAAAGGGAATTGAGAGAGAAGGGGTTACAACATTTGCATTAGTATCCCTGAAAAAGACAATGGTCAAAGATTAGAAGGGGCTCTATACATAGTAATCAAGAGAGACAGAAGAGCTATCAAACAGTTAACCAATGTAGGTACTTCTTCTTCAACAAATTGTGTAGCTAGAGGGATTAACAAATAAACATGTCCTGATTACCTTGAGCTTAAACACCTTCCATGGCAACAGACAAGACCTTTTAAGAGCAGATAATATTAAGAAAATACTAGAGAGAGAGAGAGAGAGATAGAGCAGAGGTTTTAGAGTTAAAAAGTATGCAAGTGGGGGTTGATGAAAGAGAGGAGAAGGGAAGCGCAGGAGAGGCAGGCAATAGAGAGAGTTTTGCAGGTGAGTTTTGCTAGTGAAGCTCTAAGCATGAGCTTATAACAGTAGTGAGACCAAAAAAGGGATGAGGGGAGAGAGAAAAAGCATTTTTTTTACGGACAAAGAGGAATACAATGAGTTTTAGAGAGGGCGTTGAAAAAGGTGAGGATGCTTGCTTTGCTTGCACTATCAGGGATCAAGGTTTACGCCATACGGAGAACAGCGTGTCAGAGAGTGGAGAGGACAAACGAAGAGGCTGTGAGAGAGAGAGAGAGAGAGAGAGAGAGAGAGAGAGAGTTTTGGAAAGAAATATTTTTCAAAATAATTCAAACAGTATTACAAACAGAAAAAAAAATTCTCTCTTTGCTCGTAATCTGCTCAATTACATGCATCACATATATCTAAACTACTGTATTGCTGCAAAATTGCATTTTAGTTACTTGTTTACATGAGATTTCTTTGAGGTTAATAAACAAATAAACTGGTAAGAAGGTTTAACATCTGATTGAGTTGATAGCATGTTCACTGAGTTTTCTTTTGGCTAAATGGTAAAATACTTATGTTAGTACAACGAAATTGACAAATCATCTTTTCTTATAGAAAATGCCCATATATTGGGATAAAATAATACGAAATCATATAATTCAGGACAAAGTAAGATAACTTTTCTTTAAATTAGTAGTGGAAATTAATCATTGGCCCGATGCCAAGTTAATAATCATAGTTTAATGTGCAACATTAAAACCATGGTTTGTCTAGGATGAATGTGATACGTATACAGGTCCTGACTAAGGGGATTAAAACATGATTTATCTAATCATGTTTGAAACAAAACTACTTACCGTACACAGATTTTTTTAAAAAAATTGACTTGATAATGTGATTATTATATTTGTCATTAATTTAATTATGAGTCTCAAGTAGTGGGTCCCAATAAATACTGAAATCCAAAGTTAAATCAATGACAAATAGAACAACAACATTATCAAGTCAGATTTTTAAGTCTGTATAACATTGCTTCAGTTTTTAAGTCTGTTAGGGATAATTCGTGCCTAAAGATATTGTGCAATGTGAATAATTTTGAGAGGAATGTTTGGTGGCATTGGATGAGTCTATTTAAAACCATCGAATGAACTTATTGAAATGTATCCTTTTTTGTATTATAGACTAGGGATACTTATGTCTGAAGATACGGTGTAACGTATGTGAAAAGTGATGAATTTTAGAGCAAAAAAAAAATTCAATGTGAATAATTTTGAAAGAAATGTTAGTAACCGTTGAATGATCAAATATATTTATTGAAATTTGTCATATTTTATATTATAAATTTCACATTTTTGGTATTTTTTTTGGGAAGTGTGCTCGTGAAACTAAGACTTATGACAAAACTCAATTAAATCATTATGTGGATATCAATTTTCGAAAAAATATTAATTTAAATAAAACTGATAAATTTGATATAAATATATTGATAATTAAAAATATAACAGACTTTTAGAGTCACTGAAAAACTCGGTACTTTTTTTTTTTCTGTATGGTTAATGTTTGGTCAAAAGGTCAGTAGTGTGATAATGAAGTCTTTAGCTGAAAATAGGTAGCTTGTTTAGTGGGTTCTTCCTTTACGCTGCAGACTTACTGTTGAGGGAATGCTTGTCATAATTTTCACCACATGCACCCCATTCACTCTTCTCTCATTTATTGACTTACAACCCCTTCTGGTATTTTGTGTTGTAGGGTAAGTTTATGGTATCCAAATTGATTGACCATTAATAGTTTTAGGTTAATTGATTTATAATTATTAATAATTATACGTTTTAAATTTTATTGCATGAGAAATCAAAATACGATACTAGTGCGTATATATGTGTGTCACACACTGAGAGAGAGAGAGAGAGAGAGAGAGAGAGAGAGAGAGAGAGATTTTAAGTGCATAGAATAAGTTAGTCTCATGAGAGGCTGCAAAATGGGAATCGGAGCCTGTTGATGGTTCAATCTCATCAACATTTATCCCCCCCCCCTTCTCTTCAAAGCAATCGATTTCCTCATATAATAGAAATAAACAGAGGATCCTGAAAAAATAGTCTATTGTACGAGGTTCTTGTAACTATATAATTTAAAATTATTTTAAGGACTCAAAATCCTTAATACTAACTCACAATGGGTAAATAAATTGATATTACTTGTGCTTAGTTAAAAAAAGAACAGAAATTGATGAAGAATGTGTTAAACATTGGCTTTAAATAATAATAGTAATAATAAAAAAAAAAAGATGGGTCTCACCTTCATCTATATATAACCAGCCTGGTTCTGATGATCGAGTCATTTTAGTGGGTCATTTTGTCGGATCTTTGTCTATTTATTAACTACACTGCAAGGAAAGCAAACACATATTGAATTTATTTTGATGCGAATTGGTAGATAAAACAACTTAAGATACCCTGACACTGATTGCAAAGTTTCCATCCTAGCCTAGATTTTTTTAGATAATCGAGAACCATCTAAACTGCCTTTTTTTTAGAATTTAGATACAATAACGAAAAATAAATTTTTGGCATCATAATTTTTTTTTTTTCATTCAATAACATTGTGATAAGAGTAAACTTTTTTATTCTATAATTATATATTATGTCATCATTTTTACATTAATCAATTCAAAGTCTACAGCTTTAGATTAACTTGGGTATGGTTTTCACATTTTTTTGTGAGTACCGCAGACTTATCAATTTTTTGGATTTTTTTTTTTTTTTGCTAAGTAAACTTGAGTTTGAGCAATCACACACAAAAGAGGGTTATCAATAGATCGTGTTGTTTTGGGTTCGTATTATATTTATGTCATGTTGTATCAAAATTTACTCAATTAATCTAACGTACATGACTCATATAGATTTGTGTATAATTTAGTTGGTATCGTGTCAGGTTTAATCGAATTTAACTGATTCATCCATTTATTACTAGAACTTGTTAAGTCTCGGTCTCAACCAAAACTTATTATTTTTGTGTTGATTTCACGCTAGATTCGTGGATTGTGTCTAAAATTAACAAGTCTACTCACAAACTATATTCATTATGTTAATTAATGAGATTCAAACTTGGAGCCTTNTATCAAGTCAGATTTTTAAGTCTGTATAACATTGCTTCAGTTTTTAAGTCTGTTAGGGATAATTCGTGCCTAAAGATATTGTGCAATGTGAATAATTTTGAGAGGAATGTTTGGTGGTATTGGATGAGTCTATTTAAAACCATCGAATGAACTTATTGAAATGTATCCTTTTTTGTATTATAGACTAGGGATACTTATGTCTGAAGATACGGTGTAACGTATGTGAAAAGTGATGAATTTTAGAGCAAAAAAAAAATTCAATGTGAATAATTTTGAAAGAAATGTTAGTAACCGTTGAATGATCAAATATATTTATTGAAATTTGTCATATTTTATATTATAAATTTCACATTTTTGGTATTTTTTTTGGGAAGTGTGCTCGTGAAACTAAGACTTATGACAAAACTCAATTAAATCATTATGTGGATATCAATTTTCGAAAAAATATTAATTTAAATAAAACTGATAAATTTGATATAAATATATTGATAATTAAAAATATAACAGACTTTTAGAGTCACTGAAAAACTCGGTACTTTTTTTTTTTCTGTATGGTTAATGTTTGGTCAAAAGGTCAGTAGTGTGATAATGAAGTCTTTAGCTGAAAATAGGTAGCTTGTTTAGTGGGTTCTTCCTTTACGCTGCAGACTTACTGTTGAGGGAATGCTTGTCATAATTTTCACCACATGCACCCCATTCACTCTTCTCTCATTTATTGACTTACAACCCCTTCTGGTATTTTGTGTTGTAGGGTAAGTTTATGGTATCCAAATTGATTGACCATTAATAGTTTTAGGTTAATTGATTTATAATTATTAATAATTATACGTTTTAAATTTTATTGCATGAGAAATCAAAATACGATACTAGTGCGTATATATGTGTGTCACACACTGAGAGAGAGAGAGAGAGAGAGAGAGAGAGAGAGAGAGAGAGATTTTAAGTGCATAGAATAAGTTAGTCTCATGAGAGGCTGCAA